AGCAGGGAGATTTCAGCAGTTTTCCACTCTCGTTCTTAGCGCAGACTTGTGAGTTTGAATAGCAGGCTCATGACAAATGTTTCTGAACTGGAGCAGGAAAACTCATTGTTACACTAATAATGAGATGATTCTGCTGCAAAGTGGAACATACAGATTTCAGGTTTGAAAGCCTAAGCATTGGCTTTCAGCTGATTTGGCATTGCCTAATTAAGGATGAAGCATTAAATACAGACACCTTGTTTTTTTTGCATTGTTATTTGCAACTAGAGAGTTTATTGCATTGTTTTAACTTCCATTTTCTTCATGATGAAAAAAGTTATCTTCTAGTTCGCATAAAAGTGCATCAGTTTAAACTGGATTGATTTGTGATTATGCCTGTCACTGTATGTATTGCTAAAGTTCCTAAGTCACCACAGCTAAACAAACTCATCATAGTGTAGCTGAGTTAGTTTTTCGCTTGTAGAACAATGTAAATGTGGCTTTCTTGTTCAAGATTATTCAGCAGTGCATTCTAGGCTAGATTTCCTCCCCTCCCCAAAAACTGCTTTTCAAATCAGGCAGGCTTGCAGATGGATGCATCGTCTTCCCCCATGCCATCCTCGGATAACTTCGTCTCATCCCAGTGTTTTGTCCAGTGGCACGCATCTTTATGTCACTGGCGATGGGGAGAAGCCCAAATACAGGGTATGCATTGGTAGTCCAGATAATAAAGTTCTGTAACTTACTACTCATCAATTGAGATACAGTAAGTGGGTTTATACACTGTGTGCATGCAACTGACAAGTAAAATATTTAGTGTGAAGGTTAACGAAATATAATGCGATGAGCATTTGTAAAATGGCTGAAGCTAATGTGGTTAACGTGACAAATGCAAAAGGTATCAGGAATGTGGTCAGCTGTCACTTCTCAGCTGAGCCAGAGTAATTTACACTACAGCAGCTCCAGCCCCTTAATCTGTTGTGTATTTTGTTTTATTGCCAGCAGTGTTGCTTTTTCCCCCTCAAGTCCTTGCAATACTGTTGTTTCTGAAAAGAACTAAAAAAAGCAAAGACCTATGTAGGAACCTGGTGATTTTTAACACAGTAATTTTGAACACCAGTATTTAAATCTTCCCTTTTCCTTTGAACACACTTTATCAGCTCTCTGCACTGTGGGGTGGTGAATTGCCTGACAGAGTACTGGAAACGGGCAATGCGGTGCAGATGCCCGGGTAGCTGTGTGCAGAATTCCTAGCCTGCCCTGCTGCACTGGTCTTGACCCCACGGAGCTGCTGTGTTTCTCACCACAGCATATTTCGGCACTTTGCTCAGCGTTGGGCCTGATGTGGCACATCCCCCAGTGTCTGGCCCTGGGTGGTTGGTTACGTACATGAGGCTTGTTGACTGGGGTGCAAGGCTGGCGCTGGTGCCTCACATGCGCGGGCTCTCTGCTGTGCTGAGGCTGAGCCTCGCTGGCTCTGCCCCAGAGCCTGAACTCCCTGTGTGGATGGAGGTGGCTGCCTGCAACGCCAGCCCGTGGCTCTGCCTCTGGGGTAGCTCGCAGCTTCGGCAGGTTCCCCCAGGTAGTAATGCTTTCCATGCTGTGCCTTGGGGGTTTAGGCTCACTTTGGATGTGGAGAAGTACTGTAAAGCTCTGCCTCAGTTAGAGGGAGGAGTTTTCTGTGATGAAGGTAAGCACCAAGTTCGTAGTTTAAATTGTCATGTCTGAATAACAGCTTAATACATTTTGCCAAAGTGAAATTTTAGTTACTCTGGGGTTTCAATGCTTTGTTCACTTACATATGGCATTATCCTGATGAGGGAGACAAGACCCAGTTGTTACTGGTCCAGAATCAGAGCTCTGAAATGTGCCCTGGCTTTGCTGTTGGAGCCTGGGCTGGGGAGGAAGCTGTGAGGAGCTGCTGCTTGCTGCACAAGTATGTCCTACAGACCAGCTCGTTGCGCAGCTTTGCCGTTGTTGTGTCCAGAGCCTGCAGGGACAGAGGATTTCTGTGGAAGCTGTTAGGAGGCTCATGGAAGATAATCAGAAACAGTCATTTCCTGTAGGAGAATGATCTGGGATCAAGAGGTCAGGAGGGCGGTTTGAATCTAGACTTATGAGAAGAATATGGAGAATCTGAGAAAACACGATGGTCAAAAACTACCACGGAACATTCTTTTGCTCTGCAGAACAACTTCCACTAAATGCGCTGTCACAGCATAGCTGTGGCTGTTCTCTGTGACTGGGAATGTGAACTGTCCTCTCCGTTTGCCGTGTTTGAGCAACATGGGTTTTCATGCTTCCATTTCGTTTTCATTGAACGTTTGGGTTTGTTTTCTTAGGAAGTACAAGTGCACGATTTAAAGGTATCAAATTGTGTGGATACAAGTAGCAGAAGTAGGTTTCCCTACCAAAAGTACCATTTCAGCTGTCAGATTCCCCAGGAAAGGATTAGGGGTCGAGTCAGACCTAGTGGACCTTGGCTACCAGCATCTCTCCTGCCGTGACGTACACTGGTTGTGACACAGTTCCTTGTCCTCCACTGACAAATGAGGTTCCACCACATCTTAAATAGTTTACAAGGAAAGATGGCACTCGTAAAATAAATCTTCCACACACTGTACGTAAATAGTAAAGCAGGACTTGGTTCTTCCAGGAATATAGCTGCAGTTCTTCCATTTCTGTTCCCACTTACCTGTCTCAGCTGTTGCCCATGACAGGAGTCTTAGCTGGTTCTTCATAGGTTGTAATAGCTGCTCCTTGGAGTAGCTGTTTAATTGCTACAGTTCTAGAAACAAAGGTAAAATGTTTGTATGTTACTGAACTGTCTGTGGTGTGACCAATTTCTTTATTAACTCTTACTTAACTGTTTTCTCTGTCTAATCTGTCTTCATTCTGCCTCTTTTTTCCCTTCTAACCTGCTTGCTGCCTGTACAGACCAACTCTACCAGCAACTTGAGCAAAACAGTCGCCTAACTAATGAACTAAAGCTGGCATTGAATGAGGATTAAACTTTAGTGTGACTATATTGTTAACTTGTTTAAAAACTGCTTCTTCCAAATTTCCTCAAGAATGAATCAGTACATGTAGAAATAAGCAAGAAACCTAGAAATTGGGGTTTTTTTTTCAGGCTGTTGGTTCTGTGGTAATTTAATGGATGAAATTCTCAGTTTATTTTGGAAAAATATGAAAATGCTTCTTCTGGATGAGGCTTTTCATTATCTATATGCACACCTACTGTGGGAGAGCAGTAAGCTCATTGGCTGTGCGATAGCTCCTTTCCACTTCAGTGAGCAGCTGCAGCATTTAGCTAACAGCATCCAACAAGTAACAGCCTGCCTAGCAGAGAGACACTCAGTTTACCTGACAGCCTGAATTGGCCCAGAGATATTTACTAGAACGTGGACGAGAGAAACATGTTCACCAGGATTCATATTTCTGTATTTCAAAACCAACACAAAGGATACTTAGAGCTGTTTTGTGTTCTGGGACTTTAATGCAGCAATTTTGCGTTAGTGTGAATTGGGCTTGTATTTGTTTTAAAAAAAAAAAAAAAAAAAAAAAAACACCAAAAAAAACCCACAAACCCTAGGAATGGGAGCTCCATCTGAAAATACCCGGTCAGTTTAAAGGTATGCTTGCATTAGTATGAAGTTACTGTTACTGGAATCTGGTAGGACGCAGCTCTAGAACATTGTGCTTATTTATTGTATCAATTAAGTGTGTTAAATGACTGTCCTATAAAAGTGTGCATGCAACATAAAGCTATTAACGTTGATTTTACTTATTTTCTAGAAGAAAGAAATTTCTTAAAGGTTACTTCACTGAAGAAGAGATTAGTTTTAATTTTTTTGTTCTTTGCAAGTTCTGAATTACATAAAGCTTAAAATATATATTTACAAAGAACTTAATTATTTGCTTTATTGCCCTACCTTAAAAGAAAAAAAAAAAAGCCATTCACCATCCCACATTCCTATAAGCAAAGAGCTTCCAGACCATGGAAGAATTGCGACTCTGTTGGCAGTGCATTTTCTTGACAAATGCAGCTGTAAACAGTTCTAAACTTGCATTACTTGCCATTTGTTTTGTTAATTGGGAATTCTCTCTAGTTGTGTTGGACATTGGTTTTTATGAGCATGCACATTTCCTAACTTTTTAAACCCTCCAATAGAATGGTGATTGCATGCCTTCGTGTTCTGAGAATCAGTGCCTCCAAAGAACTGCTATTCATGTTTTAATTTTCTAATCCCACAACAGAGAAAGTGGCGCATGCCAAAGAAGAAAACCTTAGTATGCATCAGATGCTGGATCAAACTTTACTGGAGTTAAACAACATGTGAAAACCTTCTTAGCAGCAACCACATTACTTGTTTTATTATTTGTACACCTGCTTGCCGTGAAGCCCCGTAAACATGCCTTTATTTTAGTTTCACCACAGTCACAAGAACATCTGCTGAATTATCAGGCAGGGGTCAGGGAAACACCAAAATGGGCAAGCCGTATGCGGGTTAAGCTATATTACCTTATGGTTGAAATGTGCCATTTCCCAGCAAAAATGTTACCTACACTTTGTAGAGAGTTCAGCAATTCGGTCTTTTGAAGAATCCTGGCTGTGGCAGCATGTGTCCCACCTCAAGTGCCAACTGCGGTTTTTAACAAGAGTAATGATTCGTGTTCAAGAGAGATCGGGTGGAAATGGTGCTATTTTGAACAAAAGGTTCTGCTGAAGTCTTTTGTTTGATATCAGACAAGTCAGGAGTTGTCCAGCACAGTAATTTATTTTTAGCAGAATTTTATTGATCTGTGAGGATTTGGACTTTCTGTGCCTCCTAATTCAATAAAACGAAGGTATGTGAGCAACAGAGAGACATGAAGGCTTCTGGAGGTTTTAAATTGTGTTCTTGCAACTCAATACGGAAGTGTAGGTCAGCATTTCACCTTGAGTATCAATTTGATTGTATTTTTCATGTTGAAATGAAAGATTCAATAAATTCAGGATAAAACATAAATTTGGAAGAGATTGTTTTAAAATGTATTTTATTTGTGTGGATTTTGGGGAGGGGGAGGAATTTATAAACCGATATTCACCTCACTTTTTTTCACACTTTCTTTGAGCAGTTTTACAAATAACCTGTATGTAAACATTGTATAATGATATGGAATAAAATGCACATTTTAGGACATTTTTTAAATTTTGCTCTCCTGTGATTTGTTTATTATCACATTAACTTTCTGTGTATCACTGTGTAAAATACACACGCGTGCAGTGGCTCAGTTTGGGATACACTTGACAGGCTGGCTTTCAGCCTCTGCTGTTCTGCTAGGCCGATGTGTAAAATTCAGTGAAATGCAGCGGTCTGGGCTGATGCGCATCTGCAGCTGTGAAGAGGGGCCCTTTGAGGGCCGTATTGCAGGAACTTGTCCCCGTCACTTGATTGTGTTCCCAGATAGGTGCAGAATGCAACTGTCCTCTGACGAAGGGTAGGGCTTTCCAAAGTTATTCGTTATTGACCAAAACTGTTTTCAGTAAGATCATTGCAGAACTCCCATAGACTTCTGTAGGAAATGAGCCCTAAAGGCGCTGCTCTTGGAAACACTACCGTGTATTTGTGTATCTTACCTGTCAATATGTGTTAATTTACCTTGATACAGTGATAAACCTTCCAAAATGGTATGTCAGGTGGACTGAAAGGATCTCTTATGAACTTTTCACCACTGGTTGCTAATTTCCACATATGAAGGTATCTTTACTTGAATTATGTCATAAGAGATCCTTTCAGTCCACTTTTCACCACTGGTTGCTAATTTCTACATATGAAGGTATCTTTACTTGAATTATGACGTCTGTCAATGAGCAATGTCAAAACATCAAGTTCTTATTCCTTCTTTTTCTATAGTATATTGCTGAAAGTTGATGCTGTCCATCCATCTAGCAGCAAGGAGCTTGGTAGGAGGCAGGTGTAGATAACCTTCCAGATCACCAAAGGTATTCTTCATTAGTGGACCCTTAGCAAGCAACTGAAAGCAAGTGACTTTCTCAGCAGCTGGTGTAGTGGTGAAAGGGTAAAGTAACATCTAATGATTTCTGGTTAAATGGGACTCGGAGAGGGAAGATGTACTCATGTGAGTCTATGGCTTTTTTGGATTGTGTTGTGTAGGGGAGAACTCAGTAACATTAGGAGCTTTCGCAGGATTCATTGGCTGCTGCCAAGTCATCCTGAACAGAAGGGATGAGATCCCTGGCTTCACGTTTCCCTTTAAGTGTTTTTGGGAAGCAAAATACATGTTACAAGGCTCCTACAGTGCTTTAAGCTTGTACTGGAGGCCAACAGTAAAGCTCCAGATAATGGTTGTGCAGAGGTAAGTTATTCTAATCCTTTTCTCCTTCCGTAGCACAAGGATGGGCTGTAAAAGTTGAAGCCTCCCCTCACTCGTGGCTCTGTGTGGTGCTGCTGGAGTCAGCGTGGCTATTGCCAGCAGGAAGGGCTGGACTGGGCGGTGGTTTGTAGGGTCAGCCTCAGGGCCACCCAGAGAGCTGGAGGCTGTGCGGGGAGCCGAACACAGGAGTTCCTGGCACCTGGCCACGAGCCTTATGCAGCCCAGCGTGCTGCCTGCTCTGCTGGATTGCTTTTATGGTCCCATGGTCTCCGCTCGGGTCCTGAACAGTGGGTCTGAGTGAGGTCAGACCCTTTGTTTGCTGCTTAAGGAGACCACAAACTGCTTTGTGGTTTGGGGAGCCTGAATTCACCTCTCGCTGTGTGCAAGGGTGAGGAGGCAGCTGTGGTTTTAGTGTTTGTTAATGAGATCATGTTACCATTAATAGGGAAAGCATGTGCAAGCAGGGAGATAAGAATTAATCGGAAAAAAATCTGTTTGTAGAATGGACGACTTCCCTGAAGTGCGTTGTTGCAAATGAGTCCATAAAGCTTCATAATCAGTAAGTAAAAGTTTTCCAGTCCCAAGGAAAGCTGAAGGGAGCAGTGAACATAATGGTGAATCACACCAAATAGCTTTTTGTGCTGAATAGCAACAGACACATAAACAGGCATATGGATGCATTTGCTGGAGCAGGAAAATCTGTTTCTACTGTTTACCATAAGCCACGACCCATTATGGATTCTTTGCATGCAGCACCTACTCAGACAAAACTCAGTGAAGCTAGAAAGCATTGACTTGTAAAAATAAATACATTGGGCTCTGATTTAACCCCATTCCAATCAGACGAGAGCTTCTCCCTCTTGCAGCTACTTTGCCCAAAATGTTCACTCTAAAAATTTGTTACATTACAGAACCCCACATCATTTAGCGTTCCTCAAGACGTGTGTCTTGGTTTGGAGAGCTACTCACCCTTTTCTTCAATGCAAACCCACATTGTTTTTTCCAGAAAATGAGACATCTGTGTTGTCTTTTGCTCCCTCGTGGGGTTTCTCTGATGTCCAGTAGCATGCAAGTCACGCTGCAGGGTGTGCCTTTCCTTCCATCAGGACCTCATAGGCATGCCCTTTCTATCTTAATGGTTCCTTGTGGTCACAAAACTTGCAGAAATGTGATTTTCCTTTTAGAGTTCTGTGTGGTCAGAACTAGCTAGTCGATTCAAGAGTTGTTGAATGGGATGAGAGAGAGAGATAAGAAGGACAGAGAGGTTGCTTTTCCTGCAGAAACAAGGCTAAAGCAGTAGCCTGCACCTCTAAAGCACTGCCTCTCAGAGCTCTAGCACCTGAGTGAGAAACCCAAGTCTGGAAGGTGTTGTGCACGTTAACCATTTTCTGCTGTCATTGATGCTACTCAAAATCTGGGTGAAGTCAGCAGACTTCACTGTGCTGTTAATATTGTCGGACTGTCTGTTCCAGCGGGCTGTCGGTGGCTGCTGTAATGCCTGCTGGTGGCAGCAAAAGAAGGAAGTGGTTAGCCAACTAAAACATTTAAAAACAAGGAGGAGGGGAGGTGCTTTTTACATGGCTCAACACTTGGGAAAATGGAGTATTTTTTTCCCCGAGGTGCTCATGTTGGTGGCGTGGGGTATTTTTCTTAGTTTCTGAGTTTTTTGATAATCAAACAGGATCATCAGTGAAAGATTAAGTGGAACTTGCAGCAAAATGTCAAAGTGGTAGAGAAGACACAGATAGTGCCTTTTGTCTTCATGGAGGTTTTTTTGAAAATGCACACAGGAATAGTTCCTTTTAATAGAGAGAAGCTGTGTAACTTCAGTGTGTGTTGTATTCTTTCCAAGGTATGGAAAACCTGTACAAGTTTGCATGATCTTCTTGGCTTCAGTTGCAAACTGCTCTAGTTTTCTGTAAGTCATAGCCTTGCCAATTTGTAAGCTGTTGCTGAGAATTGCATAAGTGCAGGACACCCCTCACAATGACAGCAGCTCAGTGAGCAATCCGGATATCCCAGCTAGTTAATTTGTATGAGAGCAGAAACAATGGGAAACAGAAGCAGATAGACATCTTAGACACGTAAAAACCTATTCCTTCCCATTTGTTATTTCTTGACTCACTGCGCTGAAATGAGAGGGCATTACGTAGCATTTTGGATTTGAATAATGCAGCCTTTAAGAGCACCTCAGCACTGGTTTCTTCCTGTCCCTTTGCTGGTTTGAGGAATGGCTGCATACAGGTTAAACAGCATCTTTTTCAGAGAGCTAACACCAAAACCAAAAACAGTGCTGCAGGCCTAGCTGCAAGTGACAGTACCACACGTCATAACACACTGGCATGTGTGGTTGTGGGAACACGTCTTGCTGGGGTATAGCAAGCGTGTGTGGATCACGAGTATGAAGGGATTGAATACATGTGGGGCCACAATCCTGCAAAGCATTTTGAATGCCTTCTGTTCCAGGGCCTGACCATGGTCTGCTCTCGGGATTATTCCTTTCGTTGATGTTGTTCTCATTTTTTGCCCCAAGATTCAAACAGAAATGTCAAGGCTGTGTCCGTGAGATCTGTCTCAGACAAAGCTTACGGCCGACGGTGTGTCTTTGGGTAAAACCTGCAGAGGCCTAACACCTAGTGATAGTTGTCCCTGGCGATGAGGAACATGGTGCGGGTCTGCTGTCTCTACTGCAGTAGCGTTTGTGCAAGAATAGTCAGGAAGATGAAACTGCAAAGTTTTTGGAAGTTTGTTTTGACTTGCTTAGAACACATTCGTATTGATACTAACACAGAGATCTGTGTGAGTTTCCAGTTTAAAAACAGAGCACTTCTTTGCAGGTCCAATGGTAGTTTGCATGTTTCTCTTGAGAAGAATATTAGTTGGCGTAATAGCCTGGGAAAATGCTTCAAAATCTTTTCTGGATTATGGTTTTCTGTAGCCGGCCAGGAGGAGCCTGCCAGACTGCTTTCCACTTAATCTGGATTGATGTACTACTTCCTTATTTATTTATTGCACACACATAGACTATGAAATAGGCTGAAGGGATGATGTAATTTGTGCAGGCTGTCCAGAAAAAAGAATGTATCTAGAAGACGAAATAGGCGCGAAAGCAGCTAAAAGGGAAACGACAAGATAGACTTGTGCGGGGCTAAGGCCAGTCAGGAGGGTATAGACAGTGTGAAGGTGATCGGCAGAAAAATGAATCCTCCCTCTCTAAATGCTACCGTGTAGTTATGCATCGTCCTGCTCCCGGAGCCTCTGCTTGTGTTCCCGCAGCCACCACATTCCTCTGCCACAGAGGAGCGTGGCTGGCAAAGTCCACGTAGCAGCAAATTCTTTGTCACACCTCATCTGGGTTTAAAGTACAATATGCAGGAGCTTTTGCCATAAAAATCAATAAAAACCCTTTCTCTCAGTGGTTCTCACTACACCGGCAGAATCTGGGTTAAATTTCTCTATGCTAGGACTTCATTATCAATTACATTAACCAGGAAATCATGACAATTTTCTAAAAAGACAAGCCCACAATTTTTTGTTGCGTTTCAGCAGTTAGCAAACATGTAGCAAATGTGTGTGCTTTTATTACGCTCAGATGCAGCCATGTCTGAGTGCAAGGCATTTCCTGGAGATTAACAACTGGCTGGGAGGGACTGCGGATACCAGAGGCAGCCCAAGGGACCCAGACTGGTTGTTAATCCACGGGAGGTGCTCCGTGCTGAGACCTACTGTTGTAAATTGAAACAAACAGCACGCAGGCCCATACGTCTCTGTCTGTGGAGGAGAAGCAGAGATCATTGCCAT